GCTGCAGCCTCCCGCCGAAGGAGCGGGGAAAGCTTTCCCCGAGGCCCCGGGGGCTCTGGGAGCTGCGGGACCGCGGGCGGGGTGCGGGGAGCGGGGAGCGGGGTGCGGGCCGCCCCGGCGGACACTGACACTGTGTGCCCCGCAGACGGGAAGGCGTACAGCTCAGACGAGGAGAAGCTGGAGGTGAAGTCGGCGGCGACGCCGTGCAGCGAGCGGGAGGAGGAGAGTTCGGCGGGCGAGAGCGAGGAGGAGCCCTTCCTGGACGGGGCTGCTGCCGGCACCGCGCTGGGAGCCAAGGGCAAGGGCAAGGGCGGCCCCGCCGCCGAGCAGCCCCCGCCGGGCTCCGGGGCCGGGAAGAGCCGCCGGCGCCGCACGGCCTTCACCAGCGAGCAGCTGCTGGAGCTGGAGAAGGAGTTCCACTGCAAGAAGTACCTGAGCCTGACGGAGCGCTCGCAGATCGCACATGCCCTGAAGCTGAGCGAGGTGCAGGTGAAGATCTGGTTCCAGAACCGCCGCGCTAAGTGGAAACGCATCAAGGCTGGCAATGTCAGCAACCGCTCGGGAGAGCCCGTCCGCAACCCCAAGATCGTGGTGCCCATCCCGGTGCACGTCAATCGTTTCGCCGTGCGCAGTCAGCACCAGCAGATCGAGCAGGGCGCCCGGCCCTGAGCCCGGCGGGGCCCCCGGACCCTGGGGCGGGTGGCGGCGGCGCGGGGGGGGCCCGAGCTCCCACTCCTGTGTACATGTACCTTATTTATTCCGTGTAAACTCTGTACATACGGCAGCGTGTCCTTCTGTCCGTGCCATGGGGAATGCGGCTTCTGGCCCTCGGGTCCTGGCCGCCCGCTGGGCCGGGCCGAGCCGGGCCGGGCCGGGCCGGGCCCGCGCTGCCACTGGCACCCACCCATGTATAGCTGTGATTTCAATAAATTATTTTCTATGGAGCAAGACCACGTTTTCCTCGCTGCAGGGACGGGGATCCCGCGGCCCCGGCCCGGCGCTGGCAGAGGAGAACAGGGAAGGGAGAGGGATGGGAACAGGGACAGCGACAGGGACACGGGCGTGGGCAGCGGGCAGAGGTCGGGGACGGCGAGCGGACAGGGGGAAGGGGAGGCTCCGGGGCCGGGGTCTGCGGAGCCGGAGGCTGTGCGAGCAGCAGCTGTGCCCTTGCGGGCTCCGTTGCACCCGCCGCCGTGCCGGTGCCGAGAACAGGCGGGGAGGAGACGAGGGCCGGGAAGCGCCCGGGAGCATCCCCAGGTCGGCCCTCCCGTCGGCGGAGCCGGGTCCAGGACTGGTTCGGGACCGCCTCCGCAGCTCATCCCGGGGTGGGGGAATGTATGTGCTGCTGCAGACTCTCAACACGGCTGCGGCCCCTGCCCTGGCTCTGACAGCCAGCTCCCTGGTGCCGACAGCAGGAAAAGGGGCTCGCACATCCAGGCCAGCCGTTCATTCTCTGCTCGTGAGAGCTATTGCATGAGATGCTGCTTCTGAAGCCAGCCATCTCAGATACTGAGCCCAGCCCCAGAACCCCGTGAAGATCCAGTTTTGCACAGGGCACAACAGCACAAGGGCCTCCCTGGGTGTGGCTCCCTGGGCTCCCAGCTTGGGGAAACTCTGTTCTGGTTTGACAAACATCATCAGTGATGGGGCAAATGGTAGCAACACCCTTTGCAATGCCACCAGAGGTTCCTGGAGAGGAGGAAGGTTCTCTCCAAGGTTTTGCTGAGGTACCAATTGCTCACAGGTTTGATAGGGAGTTTGGGTCACAAACGGTCCAGCCAGCCATTGTCACCTTCCTTGGGAGAGCAGGAAATATCCCTGAGAGCCAGAGCTGACTCCACCTTCCTGAGCACCCTCCCTGAAGCCACAGCAAGGGCTGGGCCATCCCTGTGCTGCCTGGGGAGCAGTGCTCCCGTTCCACGTCCCTTCCCTCTTTGGCAGGTGCATTCTGTTCACCTGGAGTGTGGGGTACATGCTCGCTCAGCCTGTACAGCTGAGTCCTCCTGCAGTGCCCTGGAGTTTCGGAGCAATGGGGGGTGGCTGGCCCTGCCCCTTGGCTGTGGGCTGCAGTTGACTTGTGTGGCCAACAGACACAGCTCAGATCAGAGCAATCACTTGGACAAAGCTGTGCTTCTAGACATCCTTGTGGGTGCCTCTTTCCACAGAAAAGAGAGTCCTCTTGCTGCAGGTCCTGAGAGGGCTCTGTGGTATCCTTTCAGGATTTGGTTTCTCAGCATAGCTGGCTTCCACTGCAGGACACCTGCCTCTGTCCCTGCACCACTGGCCTGGAAACAAGAGAGTATCCTAAGGAAATGCCTGGCCTGGTGTTGCTCACAGCATCCCCAGCATGGATTTGCCCTGTTCAGGTAGCAACATCTCTTGGCATTCCCTCTGGATCAGGGGAGTAAATGTCCTTTGGCAGCAGTCCCCAGTGCCTTGCTCTCAGGAGAAGTGTCAGTTCCCTTTTCAACAAGCTGAGGTAGAGCTGCCTGCACCTGCACCACTTCTCCATCCTCAGGTGGGTGTTGGTCTGAGACAGGAACTGACCTTAGCTGTGCTCTGTGGCTGCAAAGGGGACACAGCTGTTTGTAGTGACTGCAATGGCTCTGGCTGAGCCATGAGAGGTGAGAACATGAGCTGGTACTCACCTCTGTGTGGGAGGGCAGGAGCAGGGTAAAGCCATTCTGCAGCTACACACAGGGCTCTGCCACTACAAATGTGTCCACATGAGGGGTCTGTGCCACTGCAGCTGATCACAGCACAGCAGTGCACGTTAACCATGGAACTCCAGAAAGTGTCCACAGCTCCAGGGGCAGTGACATTAGAAGGAGTCAAATTTTATTTCAAGGTCCAAGAACTCCCTTATTCCCAGTGGGCATTTCTAACTGACGCTGGCCTGATATGTCCTGCCCAGTGGCAGCAGTGGTTTGTTGTGTCTTTAACTGACCTCCCCACACGTAGAGGCCACTGCCCACCCAAAATCTGTGTGCAGAGCACTCCCACTCCACTGCATGCTTATCTGTGGACTGCTGCTGAGGTGGTTCCAACACCTACAGTTTTTAGCTGCATGGAAGATTTTTTCGTTGTTGTTGCTGTTGTATTAGACCAATCTCACAGCCCATACACACTGCATCCCTACAAAAGCCATGTTAAAATCCCCACAAATGCTGCAGAGGTGCAGCTCTGTGTAGTGCTGCTGGAGGTGACAGATGCATGCTGTCACCAGCGCTGCTGGAGAGAGCTGCAGAGCAGCAGAGTGTTCCTGGCACCGAGCAGAGCAGAGCAGAGCTCCCTGTAAACCCTGAGCATTGTGATGGCTCTGGTGCCTCCTGCACAGCTGAGAGCAAAGCACTGCACAGTGAGCACATTGCACAGCACTGCCCACACTGCGCAGTGCAATGTGCTCTCTGCACAGTGTGGGCAGTGCTGCGCAATGTGCTCACTGCGCAGTGTGGGCAGTGCTGCGCAATGTGCTCACTGCGCAGTGTGGGCAGTGCTGCGCAATGTGCTCACTGCGCAGTGTGGGCAGTGCTGCGCAATGTGCTCACTGCGCAGTGTGGGCAGTGCTGCGCAATGTGCTCACTGCGCAGTGTGGGCAGTGCTGCGCAATGTGCTCACTGCGCAGTGTGGGCAGTGCTGCGCAATGTGCTCACTGCGCAGTGTGGGCAGTGCTGCGCAATGTGCTCACTGCGCAGTGTGGGCAGTGCTGCGCAATGTGCTCACTGCGCAGTGTGGGCAGTGCTGCGCAATGTGCTCACTGCGCAGTGTGGGCAGTGCTGCGCAATGTGCTCACTGCGCAGTGTGGGCAGTGCTGCGCAATGTGCTCACTGCGCAGTGTGGGCAGTGCTGCGCAATGTGCTCACTGCGCAGTGTGGGCAGTGCTGCGCAATGTGCTCACTGCGCAGTGTGGGCAGTGCTGCGCAATGTGCTCACTGCGCAGTGTGGGCAGTGCTGCGCAATGTGCTCACTGCGCAGTGTGGGCAGTGCTGCGCAATGTGCTCACTGCGCAGTGTGGGCAGTGCTGCGCAATGTGCTCACTGCGCAGTGTGGGCAGTGCTGCGCAATGTGCTCACTGCGCAGTGTGGGCAGTGCTGCGCAATGTGCTCACTGCGCAGTGTGGGCAGTGCTGCGCAATGTGCTCACTGCGCAGTGTGGGCAGTGCTGCGCAATGTGCTCACTGCGCAGTGTGGGCAGTGCTGCGCAATGTGCTCACTGCGCAGTGTGGGCAGTGCTGCGCAATGTGCTCACTGCGCAGTGTGGGCAGTGCTGCGCAATGTGCTCACTGCGCAGTGTGGGCAGTGCAATGAGCACATTGCACTGCCCACACTGTGCAGTGAGCATGGTGCATGGCACTGCCCACACTGTGCAGTGAGCACGGTGCATGGCACTGCCCACATTGCAGTGGGAAGCAGTCTGGCCACTCCTCGGATGGGAGAGCTGTAGGAGCCCCCATGACCAGCTCTGGGTGCTGGGTCAGACTGGGGCTGGCTGGGAGAAGGAGGGCCACAATGAAAAACTGGGCAGTAAAGACAGACCCAGGGCAGTTGAGCCATGAAGCTGGACAGGGCCTTGGGATGTCTCTGCTCCAACACCTCCTAGAAGCTTGTCCCATTCAAGATGCTGAAGAACTTGCCCATCTGACTTCCAGTATCTCCAAGGGTGGGCAACCCCACCTCTTCAGGCCCTGTAACAGTGTCCAACCACCTTCCTAGTATGTTTTTTCACTTGCATCTATCTGGAATTTTCCATCTACCAGCCTCTGTCTGTTCCTGTGTCCTGGAATCCCCACACACACACTGGTACACACATATGTGCATGGATACACACACACACACACACACATGCACACAGAGTATAAGGTAGACACAGGTACAGAAACACACAGAAATAAATACAAAGAGTGTGCATATACATGGGCATGCGCTTGTTTATATAAATGTATTTATACACACTTATATATATATATATATATATATATATATCCACACATTCATATGAACAACTTATTTTGCCCTAAGGAAGGCAAGTTCAGCATTTACAAGTGAATTCTCCCTACTCAAACCTGTCCACTTGTTTGCCTGTATGGTGGTTCTTAAAGAACTGGGAAAGGAGCAGAGACTGCATCCCACAGAGTGTTTATTCACTCAGCACAATAAAGCTGGTCCTCAGCATTCCCTGACAAGGGGCTGGTATGAAGATGTGATGGCCCACAATAAGGTGCTGGTGCTGTTCATTAGCCAGTGGCTCCAGGACTAGCTCAGGTGCAGGAGAGAAACAATGGGCAAGAGAGAAACAATGTCCCAACGGCTGGAATCTGGGAAGGGTCGTGAGCTCCCTCTGACCACTGCCCAACTCCTCTGCAGCCTGTGCCAGCTTGTCCAGTGTCCCCATCAGCCAGGGTGGAACTCCTCTCAGGGCTTTGTGACTGCCTGTGCTGTGGTTGTCTGCAGGCTTGATACCCGAGACTGGGCACAGGGTGCAGGTGTTGTAGTGAGTGTGTTGGTGCTGTACCTTAGTGAACACAGGCCAAGGGAGCTGGGACACTGTCACACCTGTGCCTTTTTCCCCAGAGGAAAGGCTGACTGGACACACGAAGGCACAGCCCTGTGGCAGGATCTCTGCTCTGGCCATCTCTCCTAAAAGCATCTCTGCATGTGCTCAGCATGTGATTCCAGCAGCCTCAGGGTGGGTGGTGCTGCCCCATGCCCTACAGATCCCCAGGAGGCTGTGCCTGCTCAGCTGGGGCTGCAGGAAGGTCTGTAGTGCTTCGATTGTAAGTTGTACTCTCTGGGGCTTTTTCTGGCTGTGCCCAGGCTCTCTGGGAAGTGCTGCTAACCTGTGTTATGGCTGGTTTCCAGACTGAGGCTGCAGACCGTGGATTTACTCAAGGCACGAGGCTGCATCCCATGTCTCCTGTGCTGGGGCACCCACCTCCCTCCCCTGGCTCCAGCCTCAGCTCGATGGCGAGTGCTGCTGGCTGCCTGGGGCAAGGTCCTCATGGTGCTGCCACAAGATCCATGCCACGCACGGATCTGCAGCGGTCACTGGTGCTGCTCGGGGCCACGGAACACAGGGACAGTCCCACTGCTGCTGCCTTGGCACAGTCTTCTGTATACAGCAGAGTAGAGGGATGGCTTGTGCCTTCCCTGGCATCAGCCTGAACACAGACACCTGTGCCCCGAAAAACAGGCACAGTGCCCCTAAACACACACAGCTCCTGCCCCTGAACACAGACACACACCTCTGCTCCTGAACACGGGCATGGAGCTCCTGCTTCATTCAGCCTGTCCTGGCCCAGGGCCACCTGAAGCCACACTGGTCACCGTGGCACCCAGATGTGCTCCAGCACTGGAGTAATGCTGGGCTGGGGCAAGTCAGGACAGGGCACATTTGGCTCCTTGGGACGGTGTCAGAGCCTGCAGGGATCTGGTGGCATTCTCTGTCCCCAGGTGCCAGCAAAAGGGCATCACCGGGATCCTCAGCACCTGTTTGCAATTTGTGGGCAGCAGGAAGGCACCTGCCTGTCCCCACAGGGCTGTGCCCACACCAGTGCCTCTGCCAGCAGAACCTGGCTAGGGCTCTGGGTGCCCTGAGGGGGCTGCACCCCCATGAGCACTGCAGTGGGGGGCTGCTCAGGGCTGTGTGGCCCCAGACCTTGGACATTGGTGATCTTTGTGGGCCCCTTCCAATTCAGGGTATTTTGATTCCAGAGCCATCCCCGCGTGGCTCCTGGCGGCGTGGTCATCACTCGCAGCCCCAGCCCAGCAGTGTGGGGGCAGGCCAGGGCTGTCCTGGGGTCAGAGCTGGGTCCAGCCTGGGCACTGGGGGCCTGGGGCAGGGCTGGGATGGGAAGGGAGGTGCCAGGGCTGGGTAGGGCGGGATCCCGCGCGGGAGATGATGTATGGGCAGATGTATCAGATCGCACAAGATAAACAAGCAGTGAATTTCATCAGGGCCCATCATGGCTTTAATTTGGCTGCCTAATGAGTCAGATCCAGCCGCGCAGATAAAAGTTGTCAGAGCCGCAGCCCTAATGAATTTCTTGCCACTTGTAATCAAGGCAGCTTGTCTGAGGGGGATGATTAATGGGCCCCAGAGGAGCTGCCGTCCCTCGGCTTCCATTCCCGTTAATGCAGTCGCCAGGAAATTAACCAAACCCAGCACTGGGCTGGGGCCGGGGCCGGTGTGGGGGCACCCATGGGCACCACGAGGGGGTGGGAATGAGGGGTGACATGGGTGCAGGGGCCAGGCTGGAACTGGGGACCAGGAGCAGGAGCAGGATGAGGGTGACGACATGGGCGCACACAGCCAGAACACATCAAGGAGTGGAGGGGCTGGGGCCACCGTCTGCAGCCCCCAGCAAGGCAGCCCTCTGCCATGGGAGGGGCACAAGGAAAAAGCAGCAGGGGTTTGACAGGGACATCTGAGGGTACCTGAGGCAGCTGGGGGTGTCCTGGCACCTCCCTTTCTTTCAGCACTGCCACACAGGCTTGGGGCCCAAGGCCTGTGGCCAGTAGAGCCTGGACCCCAGCACAGAGACACTGCAGCCCTGAACTGCTGTTTGTGCTGTGGCCTGGGGTGCAGCCAGCCCAGAACTGTCAGCACTGGGGCTCTGCTCTGCCCACAGCTATGAGAAGCATGCGAAGTCAGGGCTGGCAGAGCAGACACACAGTTGCCTTCACTGCTCAGGGGTCTCTGCCTGTGCCTTGGGACTCGACGATCCCCAGTCTTCTGCAGCCACAGCAGACTCCTTGCTCGCTGTGGCAGCCCATCACTCCCTGCTCATCTCTGCCTTCCCCCGTCCCAGCTTCACACTTGCTACTCAGTGCACAGGGGCCAGCTGGCCCAGCACTCCTGCCCTGCGTGTCCCCTCTCCAGCACAACCCTCTGCTGTGCCCATCTCCCATCCTGCCAGAGCTGTGCATGCCTCTGGGGCCACGTTCTGGCATTGTACCTCAGCGCCCAGGGTCGGCACATCTCCCCTCCACACCTAAGCACACTGTCGTGTCCCAAGGGCCTCGTTTGGCACAGGACTGCTGTTACCAGAGCCCGAGCCGGAGGAGAAGAGGCTGAATGTTTGTCAGTGTTGGCAGGAGAGTCACCAGACCCAGCTGCAAACCAGGGCTGCATCGGAGGCCCCAAAGGCAGCACACTGAGACTCTGGCCTGGCAGGAGGTGGGTTGCTTTATTGGCCTTTATCTCCTTGGCTGCAGATAACACACACAGGGCAACTCATGGAAAAGAAACCATATATACAGAGTGTCCATATAAATATTTCCAATGTACATTTTATACACAAGTGACAGAGACATTCCATAGCAGTGTCCAAAGCCTTGAGGTTCCAGCATTCAGCTAGAGGCTTGACCCTAATGCAAAGGGAGATGCTCCTCTCCTCCTCTTGCTCAGCTGGAGACCAGCCCCACCTGGGCAGCAGCGGGAGCCAGCGGGAGGCTCTGATGGAGACACTGTGTATGGCTTGGAGCTTTAACCTGGAAGGACAGTGACTCTACAGACAGACAGACAGACAGAGCTGGGGATCCTGGGGTGACCATCCTCCTCCCCCTCCAAGTCACCAGGGAGGCTGGGGAGGCCTTTGTCCAGGGGCTGCGCTGGGGAGATGCCATCCTTGCATCAGCACACGGGGAGCAATATCGGCATGTGCATTCCTCCTGCACCGGCCCCAAGCAGAGGAGCATGGGGGTGCAATGGAGAAACACACACCTCCTGCTGCCCCCCACCTCATCACTGCAATGGGGGGTGTGGAGAGGCCAGCATGGAGGGAGAGCAGGAGGAAAGTGCCCAAACAGACCTGTCTGAGGGCGCAGGTGCAGCCGTCAGCCTCCTTGGTACTGCTGCACAGGGGAGAGCTACACACCTGAACTGCCCCCAGCCCCTGCTTTATCTGCAGATGGGGGTGGCAGGAGAAACTGCCTCCCCATCCATGTACCGGTCACGAGAATGGGGTGCACTGGAGCCACCCCAGTGATTATGCAGGAGCTCCTCCACAAGCTGCCAGCATTGGGTCTGCGAGAGGTGGCTGGAACCAGCGCAGAGGAGCAGGATGCTGGCTCCCAGCCTCCTCCTGGCTGGAATGGGGGTTCTGGTGCAGGCAAACACCATGGGGGCCCATCTGTGCTGCTCTCAGAGCCACTCCTGCGGCCCTGGTCCCCGGCAGGGCTAGAGGGCAGCTGTGGCGACCAGAGGGCCCGTGCAGGGCTAGACTGTGCTGGGGCTGGTGCTGAACTCAAGAGGCGCCGCGGTGCAGGCGTTGTTGTTGGCATTGGCGTTGCGGCGGGGCAGGCTGGGGGTCAGAGTGGCGCTGCTGTCGCTGGGGCAGCCGTGCTGCAGCAAGATGTCGATGCACTCCTGGCTGCCGGCTCGCCGGGCATAGGCCAGTGGGGTCAGGCCCCGAGCATCCCGGCTCTTCACATCCACTCCGTACTGAGCAGGAGAGAAGCAGCTGGTCAGCGTAGCTGGGAACAGCGTGCCCAGGGACATGGGAGTGGCACAGAGCAGAGGGGCTCTGGGGAAGGCAGGAAGAGGGTGCTGGGAGGGTGGGCAGGGACAGGGTGCTGGGAGAGTGGGCAGGGAGAGGGTGCTGGGAGGGTGGGCAGGTCAGTTCCTGTGGGCACGTGGGGGAACCCACGGAAGCATGATGTAAAGGGTAGCAGGGAGGTAGGGAAGCACCTGGAGAGCACAGAAGGGCTGCAGTGGAGGCTGCAGGTTCAGTCTTACCCAGATGAGCAGCAGTGTGAAGACCACGTTGGCCATTGCGCAAGAGAGATGCAGCGCTGTGCGCCCGTCTCCATCTCCGTAGGTCTCGTTCACTTCCTCCTTGGTGCCATGGGCCAGAAGCGTCACCACAAGGCGCAGGTCATCCTCCACCACGGCCCGCAGCAGCTGCTGCCCCAGGGGGATGTCAGACTGGGGCAGTGGGGCCAGAAAGAGCTTCTGCTCATACTTAGCCCGGATCCAGTGCTCCTTCTCCTCCCTGCCAGACAGGACATTGTCACTGTCACAGTTGAGACAATTTGCCTGGGCCCCATGCACAAAAGGACATGAGTATCAGCTCTGCCATGTGACCATACTCGTGTGAGCAGTGGACATCTGTCACACCCAGGTATGTTCCGCATATCCCCTGCCGTGCCCCTGTGCCCACAGCTGCCACTTGAGGTTCCGTCGCCCCACTCTGGACACCTGCCTGGCACCTGCTTGACTCACACTGCACCTCCTGACAGCCGCCTACGGACACTGTGTGCTTACATCCGTGCCTGTGCAGCAGCAGCGTCCTGCACCCAGACCCCACACCCGTCTCTACGCACCTCCGTGCTGGAGCCCCTCGCCCGGTGCCGTGTGCCCGTGCTGAGGCAGCTCGGAGACCGTCCCTATCCCGTGCCTGTGTGTGTGCCACGGCCAGTGGCAGGAAAAGGTTAGTGCTGCACACGCCAGCCCAGTGCCACGGGAGGCACCTTATCGCTGCCGCCGTCTCGCCTGCTGCAGACAAAGGCTGTGTCCGCGTCCGTCCCGCCGGGGCGGCGGATCGATGCGCGCCGGCCGCCGCTATCTGCTGCCATTCTATCCATCTGCATCTGGCGGGTGGCCATCAATGCCCCGCGCAGAGCATGCTCACTCCCACCAACCCCTGACCCGCGCTCCGCCGCTGATAAGCTGCAGAATGGGCTCTTGTTGGGATGAGTGACAGCAGAGTGGCTCCGATAGGGACAGAAAAGGGCCTGAAAGGGACAGACCCTGGAGACCTGCACGACGCTGCCAAGCCATCTCTGTTAACCCCTTCGGCTGTGCAGCCAGCCTCAGCTCTCAGAGTCACCGCACGGCTGTGGCTGCCATGGAGCCCCACTGCCCCACCAGGGTGGCAGGAGACAGTGGTCAGAGCCTTGCAGGCAGGCAGGACCCTCAGCGCTGGAGCATCCTGAGGAATCCTTCCTGCCTCAATGGCTGTTCCCAACCCCTGTAGTGTCCCCCAGCCCTCCTGGTATTGTTCCCAAGAAGCATCCCTGGGGTTCACCACCTCCCTTACCGACTGCTCTCAGGCGTGGGCTTGGGGTACCCCTCCACCATTCCCTCCCAGACAGCGTTTGCAAGTGCGTTGCCGATGGCAGTCATGACCATAAGAAGCTCGCTAGGCCAGTCATCCAGGTCCAGGGAGCGCACACGGGACAGGTGGGTGCCCAGGTTGCGATGGATCCCAGAGCACTCGATGCACATGAGAGCACCCAGGTTCAGACTGGCCCAGTCCGGATCTGAGGGCAGCAGGATCAGTGGGGGAGAGTTAATAACCTGCCAAGACTCACCAGCCCGTCTCCTGTGGTTCAGACTCGTATTTGCAGGCACCTGCCCACCAGACCCCTTCCCAGTTCAGTGTCCCTGGGAGAGGTGCACATGGAGGGGCCAGGACCTCAGGCTGGCCACTGAGTGGTCACAGGCCAGTGTGGCAGTGTGGTCTGTACCCCAACCCCGAGGAGCAGCTCCACTACAGGAGAGGACAGGACAGACACACAGAGCAGGTCTTTCTGGGCTGAGAGAGGGGGTGCTGGGGTGGCTGGAACCCCCTCCCCTCCTGGGTGAGCCCCCCGCCCAGTGTAGCATCTCTTACTCGGTGCATCGCAGTCCACGCAGAAGCTGTTCCCACGTGCGGTACGGACGGCCTGCATGGCCTGTGCATCGCCCTGGCTGCCCAGCCGAGCCTGGAAAGAACCCCACAAAGCCCCCTTCACTGCAGGCCAGACACCCTACCCCATCCTGCACCCCTCCTGGAGTGCCACACCCGCTCCATGAGGCTAGCCAGCATGTGGGCTCTGACAACAGGGTCTGGAGTGGCCAGGTGTGTCCCAGAGGAGCAGGGGACAGTGGGCCAAAGTGGGGAGAAAGGGCAGAGATATCCAGGGAGGGAATGAACCATGTAGGATCCACCCACATGGGATGCAGAGTACTCTGTGGGGCCAGGGCCAGGCAGGGAAGAGGTGACAAGAAACCTGAGGAAACTGCATAGTCCCAGAGATGGGACTGAAATCTCACTGGGAGAAGAGGGATCAAAGCAGGATTCAGTGTGGACAGACAGGCAAGTGTGGGACATGGAGGAATGTGGCAAAGCAGATGCCAGAGAAGATAGAACAGAAGTTGGCCAAGGCCTCCTACCTTGTTTTTGCTGCTCTCACATCCCTGCAGGCTGGCCAGGATCTGGCTCTCAATGGCCTGCACCCAGAGCTCCCGCTCCTCTGATGTTGAGGCTTCAAAGAGCCATGTCTGGCCCGTCAGTGACACGATAATGAACTCAAATGGCTCATCTGGTTCTGGAAGAGAAAGGTGTGCCATAACACGGGGCTGGGAAGGAGGACATCTGCCACGGGACAGATCCTGGCAGTCCACCACCATCCCCATAGGGCTGAGGCAGCAGCAGAGCCCAGGAGGCTGGGACAGGCAAATGCCTGCAGAGAAGAATCAGAGCTTGGTGCCAGTCCTCCCTCCCTCTGCCCCACACAGCTCCAGTGGCTTGTGCCCACTCTCCCTGCCCTGTGTCCCACCCTCAGAGAAAGCTGCCAACTTCTGGAGCCCTGAAATCAGCTCCTCCACTGAGCCAGAGCCTGCAGACAGCCCCTGCACCAGTTCTCAGTGCCCGCCCTCGAGCAGCTTTGGAGCAACAGGCCCTGCACACGGAGTAAGCCAGGCAAGAGGGGTCTGTGTGGGGGCTCAGCACAGCTCCTCACCTTAAAACGTGTTCTGCCCTGCTAACACCTGCCAGCATGGCTCTGCCTCACACGGCCCCCCACGGGCACAGTTCATGGGGTGTTGTGTCAGCCTCACACCCAGCACCAGCATTTACCTTTTATTGCCAACTTCAGTAGTTAGTGCAGTAAATGACTTAACTAAGCGGGGCCTGAATGGAATGACTAATAAACGTTATGTCACAGCACACGCTTCAGCTCATAGCAAAATGATTTGTAATTACCTAATTAGCGTTATGCAAATAACACCCTCATCTCCATAATGTGCCTTCCCAGCTCTCTATTAAAAGCAGGGAGTCAACTGCTCAGCTCCAGAGACAGCACGGAGGCCGAGGGGCCTCTGGTCCACATCAAGGCAGAGCTGTGCTGGCCTCGAGCCTGGTGGGGCCAGGCATGACGTGGGGAGGTGAGCAGGGAAGTCTGGAGGGCTTTGAGGGGAGTCCCCTTCTCTCCCTGACTTCTCTGCAGCACAGAAGCCCCTCACTGCAGAGGGCAGCAGCAGAAAGGCAGGGACCGAGAAGCTGCTGCAGCCCACAGTGAATGGCTGCAGAGGCCCCCAAGGGCACGGCCACCCTCAGCTGCTGTGGGGTCACCTGGCCCATCTGAGCCAGGCTGCGTCCATGAACATCCCCAGAACACTGTGCAGCCTTGGGAGGTCTTAGGAAAGCCAGGTCTGTAGGGCATGATGGGACTGCACAGCCCTTCCTCCCAGGCTTGTGCTCAGCACCTGCACTGACAAGTGCCAGGCCTGGAGATCACCAGTGCTCCTGAACTGGTGTGGGAGCACAAGGCTGGGTTTCCACACCATCAGAGCCTGGGGAGGATGGAATTACTCCGGCACGAGGGCTTGTCCTGGCTTGCCCTTTCCAGATAGGATTTTACTCATTTCACCCTAAATCAGCCTGGGACCCCCACTCTGGGGAAAGATGTCTGCAACTGCCTCTCTCCTGCTGGACTCTCCTTTCTCTGTGATGTACAGGCATAACTGGGATATTCCACTTGTCCAGCACTTTCCTCCAGCTCTCAGCCACAGGAGAGAACCCACAGACACCAAGTCCCAGCTCAAAAACAAGATTCTTGGAAAATATACAGCTGCTAGCTTGTGAATACTGGGAGAGGAATAAACAGCCCACAGCCAGGCCAACAGGCATTGCCTCCTTTGCTTGCTGGCACCAGCCTCTGTGAGTGCTGCCAGAGCCTGGCATGGGCAGGGAGCCTCCGGACTGCCGGGGAGCCAGGACCACCTCCCCACAGCCACAGGACTGGTGGCTGCCTAGGGCCAAGCACTACCAGCCAGGAAGGAATGGGCAGCAGCTCCCTGGGGCAGAGGCTGCCCAGGTGCTGCAGGGAGCATTTGCAGACAGCGCTCTTGAGGAACACTGACACATCAGAACAAGCCCTGTTCTCCTCAAATCTCATCCTGCCTTGGTCTGAACCACCTGTGGCTGCTGCCACTGTGTTGCACAACCCAAGCCAGCTGCCTGGACTCAGAAAGCACATCATGGCCAACAGGACACAGTGAGGATTCCTGCTGTGGGCTCACATGGCTCCATCCTCCTTGTTCCTGTTTCCTGTTTGCTCAGCACCTTCCCACCAAGCAGGCAGGCAGGAATCCCAGTCTCAGCCTTCCTGCACCTATACGCTTCCCAGCGAAGAAAATGCCTGCTCTGCCTACCCGGAGCTCTGGTGTGGGGGTCACTGCTGCTCCTTGAGGCACCGTGCTGAGGCAGGGCACTCCATCTCTCAGGGCTCCCAGCACTCTGCTCAGGACATTCACAGTAGGGCAGGAGGTTCCCTCCTTCTGGGAGAGAAATTTCTGTGGCTCCAACCCAACTCAGACATACTTTCCTACTATCACAGCTGAGGGACATCCCAGAGCTCTAGGGCTGCTCAGTCCCAGCCGTGGGAGCAGTCCCAGTCCAACCAAAGCCCTGGTGCCAGCTCTGCAAGACACAGGACCTCCATTCCCTTCCTTCTTTGTGCCTTCTGGATTCCAGCTTCATGCCAAACAAAGGCCCTGTTGCTCTCGGAGCTTGGAAAGAGCTATCAAAGGACCACAGCTTTTCTGCTGTGCTAAGACAAATTCCCCACCTCATAGTGCAGGATGGCACTGTGGGGCTGGATCTCTGGAGGCCCTAGGATAGCATGACTACGACAGAAGAGCGTGGCACTGCGGGATCACACTCCTGGGTTCACATCTGAGGACCAGCAAAGCTGGGAAGGGAATCAAGGATTTGCAGCAGCTTCGAGCACTGCGCAGGCCCACCTTCTGGGATGGTCTAGGACCAGTTCCTGAGCTCCTCAGGGCACCCATACAAGTTGGATCAGACTCAAGCTGTTGTTTTAGGGGAAGTGCTGGGCATTCTCAGCTTCTTCTGGGGAGAGGTACCGATTTCCAATGTGGCAGGGCCATTTCTGGCTGGATGAAGGGGTAGCACCAAGCAGATGACATAAGCAGAAGGGTCCAGACTACCTCTGCTGCAGCAGAGCTGGCAGAACTCCCTCCCCGGCTCCACACATGGGCACAGGCTCCTTCTCAGAGGCCAGAGAAGTCCAAGAGCTTGCCAGCTCTGATTTGACAGGGCTCAGACCTCAGAGGAAGCCGCTCCTACAGGAGTGGGGAGCCCTTCCCAGCTGCCTCCGAGTGAGCAGCTATCCGGGGGCCAGATGGCAGAGCCCGGCCCCCCAGCCCTGCGGCTGCCCCAGTGCGCTGGTGGGAGCCCATTACACCAGCTACATTAGAATTAGTGGGCAGTGGAAATGATAGCACTGCCTCTCTCTCTCCTGATGATTTTTTGATGATGTTTTAAAGACTGAGCTCCGTGAAGAGTTGCTGAGCAGAGTTTGGTGTGAGCTAGCTCTGCTAATGGGTGTTAACCCCACGACCCCCCTTCCAACACCGGGCAGGAACAAGGGCTCTGAACAGGAGCAGGATGAGGGAGGGCATGGCTGGGACAGCAGGGCCACATGGCATCCAGACCCCACCGGCAGCCTAGGGGACAGGCAGGGACCGCAGGGAGATGAGCAGCCCCAGGACAGTCACCCCCCCTCTGCCAACACGTCAGCCTCGGGGGGAAGCATCCCCCGGACAGCAGAAGAGCACCACGGGGCTGCCATGAATGAGGGAATAGAGACACCCTGTGTGTCCAGCCGGGAGCCAGACCAAAGGGACAGCAGGAGGGTAAGGAAGTGCCCACCAGGATGCAAGGGAGCTCGCACGTGCTGCTCAAGGCAGCTCTGGGGCGAGGTGCACAGTGGAACAGCGTGCCCCACTGACACCTGTGGGATGCCAGAGAGGAAAAGGAAGGGGAGCACCAGTGACACAGAGTGCTGCCTTCACAGCTCGTGCCAAGTCCCCTCTCTATGCTCTGAGTAGGGGAAAGTAAAGCTCTGAGCAGAAGGGGTACACCAGGCAGCTAAAAACACCTCAGCTTTAACAAAGGGCTGGGGCAGAACTTGGTCCTGCTCTGCAAAGGGCTCTGGTTACACCCTGCATTGGTGCCCAGCCCAGACACCCTCCTGTGGGGACCCTGACGTGGAGCAGCACTACTCACCTCCTTTCCCATGGACACCCTGCTTCTCCATGGGGTGCAGCAGGTCACCCAGGCAGCGTGTTCCCCGGGGAGCTGCAGCGGGACAGGCTGGCCCCATGCCACAGCCCTGCCCAAGGTGTCCCCACACAGGTTGGGGCAGCACTCTCAGAGCACAAGCAGCAATATGGAGGGCTGCTCCCCTGTCTCAGAAGCATCAGGATACAAAGCAGCTCTCGGAGGAGCAATGGCCCTCTGCTCCCCTCCAAGTGCAGCAGGACCGTGTTTCCAGCACTTGGACACGGCACTGTCCAGTGCCTCTCTACACAGGGCACTGGACAGGCTCCCCCACCCCAGCCCAAAGGCCCAGGGCAGCACTTTCTTCCCCCATGGGAAGCGGGAGTGGCAGGAGCATCTCCATGCCAGCACACCAGGCAGAGAGCCTACCATGCCAGACAGCTTCCCAGCTGGCTCCTTCCTGAGCAGTGGGTGCAGGATAGTGTAGGACACCTTCCCTGCATCCCAGCAGGTCTGGCAGAGAGGAGCAGGAGTCCACTCAACATCAGCAAAACAGGAAGCAGAGCTGGCACTGAGCCCCACTCTTGAAGCAGAAGTCTCCTCTGTCACCTCTGCTCTTCAACATCTCCCAGTCACATCCAGCCTCTCCCGCATGCTGACCTTCTCCCACTCCCATCCCTTCTCCCACTTTTTGCTGGCATAGTAGAAGTTGCCTCCAGAGGCCCTGGGGAGTGGGTATCACACAGGGAGGAGGTGGGGGGATGCCTCCAGCATGTGGGGCACACGGCAGAAACCAGGGCAGGTTCTGTCTGACATCCAGGGAGACCCTGGCCCACAGCTCTCCTCTCTGCCTGCCAAACCTGTGAGGAGGGTCCTGGAGCTGGCAGCCCCTGGCCTCAGGATGCTTGTTTGCAAGCTGCGACTGTACCATATCATTATGAGGTGTTTGGGATATCAACAAATTAGCAGGCGTCTGGGAAGGGAAGGATGCAGCACCATTCGTAAATGTCAGCTTGCTAC